CAGCCATCCATCTCTATTTTTCTACATATTTATTGAGCAATAACTTCATGGCTGGTTTGTTCCAATAGTTTCCTGTTGTTAATTCTCGCTGACTGACCATCTTATCTTCAGTATTTGTTGAGGAAAGTCTGAAATCTATTCGTAATGCTTTTTGTGCTCCACACAGAAGGAATGACTAAATATTTATGTTTAAAATAAAAATTTCGTTCTTTTTCTTGAATTCAGAAGCTTCCCAGTCTGAAATCAGAGTGATGAGTGATAAAGATCTGCTTTGCCCTTCCGATTCTGGTTTTGATATCCCAATTCGTGCTGTGTACCTGTAGTTGAAACGATGCTTCCTAGATTAGTGAACAAAGCGACGTCTCTCGTATTTATTCCATTGATATTTATTCGTGCTTATTTTTGGTTGGTTGGTTAATAATAATAATGTGAAATGCAATTAAAACGTTTATGATTATAATCATGACTAAATATTGAGTGGTACAACAGATAATGTCATCTACGGAATGGATCATAGAATGTATCGACCTTGGAAAAGGATGTAAAAATAATAAAATTATTAGGTTTAGTAGGCTACTAAAATGCAGTGTAACATAGAGAGAAGTTTTACAGGATAGAAGGTGATATTGCAAAAAAAATTTATTGATTTAAAGTAGTAAATTTGACAAGTGAAACATTACAGGAGACTGTTCAAGTTGAAAACAAAAATAATAACAATCTTCATAATAAGCGGAAGGTATTGTAGATTAAATAAACAAACAGATAAATAATAAATTAATCAATAAATATTTGTCCATCTACGGCCAGGGTAGAAATAAGAACTAGAAATACTACCTGTGTACACAAAGTTCTGGCTTGAATTTATTTTTTTTAACTCCTTTACGTTCCCAGTGGAACATAGGGCTTCAAGCTAGAGCTTAGAAGTTTCGGTAGCAGTGGTACTTATTTATTTTTACAGGATGCCAAATCTTCCCTCTTTACTAGCCTTATTATTGCCTTAGCGAGGTTAAGGAATGCGTCGGCCGGAGATCTTACCCCGAATCACCAGCGTAGTTGGTGAGCATTCTACCGCTGTGCCAACGACGAAGGCTTGAATTCATGAATTGGCAAAACCTTAAAGAGGAAAATGTGCTAAGTTAGCACGAATTCTATAGATGATCTTGAAAAATCATGGTTTGAGGCTACAGGGTGACAAAAATTGGTCAAGTCTTCTAGAGTAGAGCTTCGTACAATCTTGCTTGCTCTCATGGGAAACCATACTGGAGTGTTCTATCTTATCCGCACAGAGAGCATTCTCTAGCTGCTGCCTATGCACCTCACCCTACAATAACAGGTGGACTGATAGAGGCACATGGAAGCTGTTAGATGACGGAGGTCATCTTATAAGGAGACGTAGACCAACTTACGGCTGATGAAAGTTAATTGGAGTTTAGACTGCCAAGAACGTCTTACCGAATGATATGGAATGATATGAAGCCTAGTCGCCACTGAGTTACAAATTTATGAAGATGGTTTTGCTTTGAATGGAGTAAGTGACCAGTCTGTTGGCATAATAAATAACCATCTAGAGATAAAACTTCGCTCATGTCTATTCTGATAAACCCTGGTTACATAACTGTCAGTTTATTGTGAGCCCATTACTAAAATATGGATAGGCATGAGTACTAACGATGTGTTCTGGGACAATAAGCTCCAAGCAGTTTCGTTTTCAGCTGAATAAAATACTAATAGCAGAAATAATTCTATCACTTATGTATTGAATAATTCTGCGTTGTGCAGCTATCGCGTGTTGGTTTCACCCATTAAGTTTTCTGTCTCAGTTGGAAAGATTGGTTTGAAACACCAAAAAATTCATACACTCCCTATTCGTATAGATAGGAGTGCATTTACATTAAAATATACTCACATTCATACTCCTATAAAAGTTGGCTTATCTGAAACGCTACTAGCTAACAATGCGTTTTCCCCTAGCGAGGAACAAAATGTCCTGTCCAGCTCAGTGCAAAATGTTGGTTCAGCAAATCATTCCTTTTCATTATGGAGCTCAACCAATGTTCGGCTTGACTCCAGTTCTCCTCAGAAGAAAAACAATAAAACAGGTGCAGAAACAGCCGACAACAGTGAGGTCGTATGCAGTGAAAAAACTGGAAACAGGTAGCATACCTAAATTTCACTTAGCAGGGCATACACTCGGTGAGGAATTAAGATTGAGCGCCAGCCCAGCGTTTCATTCCACACTTCAAGTAATATGTGCGTGCCTGTGAAGAGAGAATACATAAAGTTTGTAGACGTTATTTCTGTTGGCTTTTAATTTATTCACTAGAATAAACTTTGTACAAGTGTTGTAGATGCATTCTTTTGGCAATTAACATATCTACACATTAGATTGAACACTAGTACGTACACATTCCTTTGGCTCTACATATCCATCCGGTCTTTGATTTTGATGATGACGTGATTCTGTGTATTTCATTTAGAATACTCAGGTCAAACGCAACTGATCCCTTGGTACTAATTAGTCTACACTGATGTCAGTGATTACATATTTTACTACTTATATGCACACACACACACACGAACACATATTTATTGGTTATTTGCTACCATTTATTCTATTGTATTCAGTGTCAGTTAGTCTTAGTGACGCACACTCTTATTATTATTATTACTGTTGTTGAGTGTGACAAAGTGATGAGAACTGTTTGTAAAATCATTTTGTTAACATAAATGCATACACGTACAACATTCAGCATCAAAAATAACATCCGGATTTTCAACTCCAATGTGAAATCAGTCAGTGCTACTATACGGATCAGAGACTTGCACTGAGCGTCATAAACAGCATCTCAAACAAACTACAGACCTTCATTAACAGTTGTCTTCGCTCAATACTCAAGATCAGATGGCCAGCCAGAAAAGATCAGCAACAGAGATCTCTGGCAATGAGCGAACCAACCAGGAACCGATTGTGAAACAAATAGTCAGGAAGAAATGGAGATGGATTGTCCGGCCATACTCTGAGGAAACAAAGCATCAAGTGACATCACTAGACAAGCCATTGCTCGAGTGGAACCCGAAAGGAAAGCGGCGAGTTGGTCGTCAGTGCAAGGGTGGGGTGACTTGGAGGAGGTCATATGAAGAGGAGATGAAAACGTGTGGGCAGACTTGGAGCCAGGTGAAGACTCTAGCAGAGAACCGAACGCAATGGAGACGCTTGGCTGAAGCCCTATGTTCCTCTAGGAATTAAACGAAACAATAATAATAATATACACTCTCGGTATGCAATTTACGGTTAAAGAATAGGAGAAAAGTGAAGTTGAATAAGTTAGCCTTTTTTCATGTACATTTGCTGATTAGATTTTTAATGCGTTATAAATAACCATTGCGTTCAGGTATTAGTTACTTTCCGGTCAGATATCTTATATGTGGTGGATAGTGAATTAGCATAATAACCCAGGTGTCACCTGAATTCACCTGCATTCCCCAGTGAGAATGATAATATCCTCACTGGCATTCAAACCCGCTACCTATCATTTCAAACGCTCAAAGCATTAGCAGCTAGACCACCTGAGCCAAAATGGGCAGTGGGTTCGAGTCTCGGTCGGAACACCTTAGCTCATTGAGTAATCCAAGTACTTCTGAATGACGTTATATGCATCCGGGATTCCAATAGTAGTCACCATATGTCGAATTACTTCATTCTAATCCTCTAACATCGTGGAAGCATTCTCACAAAGGGTTTACATGTCAACAAAAGCGGAACATTTCGGTGGCATCAATCAACTGGAAAATCAGAATTAATTTAAAAATACCTATTCAATATATTGTAATTTTTAAAGATATTAAATGACTAAATTACTCAAAAGTAACATTCTAACCCCTTCGCCTAACTTTTTCATGTACAATACTCAGTGGGGTGATACATGAGCAGTGTTTAAGAGACATATGTACGCAACTATCTAATCCTTCCTTATTTTCATTAATTTTAAGGCAATGTTGTTTTGTGATAAAGTCCCCTCTCAACATCGATCAAATTTCTGCAAACCCAAATACTAGACATTCATAAAGGGTTTACTTATCACATAGTTTAAAAATCAGATAAGGTTAATATCTGTTAATCTAGAAAATGAAAAATTACGTTGCTTTTTAATTAAATAGTACTAAAAATAGTTTGAAAAATTTTTTCATTTTTTCATTTTTGTCTATTCAATTTGTATACTCTTCCTTATTAAGTCAATTGTTACTATTACTACTCTCACTTTTAATTGTCCCCGGTATTATTTCACTTGTTCCACTTGTCATTCTAAATTAATTCCTTTATGCAACATTAAATTCTATGCTATTAAATTTCACACAATATTACGTAACGTTTTTATTTTATTCAATTTGTCTACTAATCTTATAATTAAACACCTTTTTCAAGTTCTATCCATCCTATGAATTATTCTATATATGACATTAATTTGCTTTGCCACTTGACATTTAACTACGATTATAATCATAAACATTTTAGTTTTAATTGCATTTCATACTATTGTTATTATTTTATGCATTCACACCTATGTTTCAATTACCTCACCGGATATAACTTCTTAAAAACCATATATATACGATTGTACAGCTTGACGATAAATTCGTTGAGAAGAGTCTCTTCGCTGAATCATTTGTTTTGATTCTCTATAAGTTCTAAGACTGACGAAGAGGGTGGGTTTGGTTTGGGGCTAGAAATCTCACCCAACCCCCGATACCCCGTATAATCAATAACAATGTAACTGAAACTTTAGAGCTATGCCTTGAATCAATAAGTTACTTCAGTGCTAAAGGGATATGCAATAAAATTCTGTAGGTTTTCTAGTATACTAATTATTTTCAAGAAAAGAGTAAAGTTCACTTGTATAAAGTATGCAGTCATAGTTACCTTTTATGAATAACGAGAAAGTATTCATTTTTTATCATAAATTATTCTTTCTTTGTTTTTTTTCTTTGTTAAATTAAAATAGAGAAAATATAGGTTGGGCATCTACGTGTAATAATGTTGGACAAACAATCGGACGTGTTATTTCATATGTTTCTCTGTTATGCTTGGAATCACCTGAAATTTCAAATAAATACCTAAGACGAGTACCAGTTGAAGGTCAAGGATTGATATCAATTCCAGGTTAGTATATATATATATATGTATATAGTCAGGGAAAAGAATAGTTAAAAAAAAACAATTATTTTCAGAAAATTCTTCTTCAGCCTCTACCATAATGAAGAAAACCAGAGTTTTATTCAGTGAATAAATATCTCTTTTCAATGAATTCATTTTTAAGCTGTACAGTTCTATTTCTATTACGGAAAAAAGCATTAAGTAGCGCTAGAAACTGTTCAGTTATTATACACATAATAAGAATAAAGATGACATAAATCACAAATTATTTGTGCTGATAACTGCTCACATGCTGATTCTCTCGGAAAATTAAACCGTTCTCACGAAAAAGATTCTTTTCACCATCGAAGAGGATTCCTATTCCGTATATCACTTCTTAGATATGATGCTAGAAAGAAGCATGGACGGCATTCCAACAGTTGGCTACCTCCACGCGGGAATAGAAATCTTAACCACTCTCTATACTACAGAATCCCGAAAATCTGCTTTACAGATACGATCGAGATAGAACTAGGAAACCACCACACAACTCATTTAGGTATTGTATATCCGAGGAGGTTTGTTGAAAGAAACATCAAGAATCAGACCGTCTCCAGACAAGCCACAGTCACAAAGAAGACGCAGTGCATCAGTTTGGCGTTCAGTAGTAATACCAGTGCTGAAGTGATTATAAGTCATTTATCTAAATGTATCTTTTTTTCCTTCACGTTCCCAAGTGAAACATAGGGCTTCAAGCTAGTGGCTTGGAGTTTCTGTAAAGAAGACAAGACTGAGGAGACTGAAGGAATGTTTATTTGATGAAACGTATGGTACATAGCTAAATTTGGAATACCATATTCTTAACCGGCTATTTGCACATCTTTACCACATCCTTGACGAATTGGTCGAATATCGTCTCATTCGATAGCTTCTTGGATTCTGCATCATATGGCAACATTCTTCTCATGGTTCTCTTCTTTGAATGCTCTTTCCAGTGTGCCAAACATGTTGTTACTTCGTTCCTGATATACTACTTATATCGGATTATAAGTAGCACTCACCACACTCGCCCCCTCATTATAAAGTCTCTCCTGTAACCGCCTTGATCGCCGCACAGACGTTTCATCCTGCTGCTCTTCTGTTACCTTGTCTTGACATTCTTCTCTCCATCTTTGTAGCAGGCTGGCGTTTACTCTTTTCTCTTTATCTCCTCTCTTTATTGTGTACACTGGACCGCGTCTCGATGTGACCACATATGGTCCCTCCCACTTCGGCAGAAGCTTTCCTGATCCTGGTCCACTTCCGTTAGTATACTTTCGTTCTCTACATTTCACCTGTTCACCTACTTCAAACGGCTTCCAAGCTTTGATTTGTTTCTTGCCATAATTTTCGATGTCTATCTTGCGCTTCTCTTGTATATTCTGAATAGCTTGTTTCCGCTCACTTGTCCATCTCTTACTGTTCCATTTTTGTTGTGTTGGCCAAGTCTTATGGTGCACCGGTAAGCGTGGTTTCCTCCCATACATCAGCTGGAAAGGCGACTTTTTTGTTGTCCCTTGTACTGTGGCACGATGTGCTAGTAATACCAACGGTAAGTCAGTTTCCCAGTTGCCTCTTTTCGCAGCTAGCCATTCCTTGAGTGTGCGATTGTTCCTTTCGGTTAAGCCGTTTGTCTGCGGATGATACGGAGTCGCTCTAATCCTCTTAATACCCAGTGCCTCCAGACGAGTCTTGAACTCCTCACTTTCAAAACAGGGGCCTTGATCTGTCAATATCATTTTTGGTACACCATGATCCGCCACAATATGTCGAATAACCGCCTCGGTTACGGTCTTGGCGCGCTGATCTGGAATCGCTACCGCATTTACCCACCGCGTGGCATGTTCTGTCATCATTAAAATGTATTGGTTTCCACTTGCTGTTTGAGGGAAAGGACCCATTATGTCCACGGACCATAGGTCACCAACCGCCGTTACGGGTATCGTTTGTAGCTGTGGTCGAATGCACCGATCACCCTTCATCAATTGACACTGTGGGCAAGCGAGCACGTAGTTTGCAATATCGCTTCTCATGTTTGGCCAGTACGCACTTTGGCTCACTAGGTCGTATGTTCGTGCAACTCCTGTATGAGCTAGTTGGTGGCATTCTTGAATGACCCCACGACGAAGGCTTTTTGGTATCACTGCAACCCAGCTACCATCACTGTCTTTCCAAGTTAAGACGCCGGCAGCGTTTAGTTTGAGTCTATGTTTTTGCTGCAGTAGCATCTTTAACTCTCTATTCTCTGCTGCCATTTCAATTTCTTTCCCTTCACGCATCATCTGAATGACTGTCTTAAGAGTAGGATCCGACTTCTGGTGGCGAACAAGTTGTAAGGGATCTTGCTCCAAAGCGTTTACTGCATACGCTACCTCTGGTAGTTCAGTCTCATTATCTGACCTCGACAAATAGTCAGCTATTACATTTTCTTTTCCTGGAACATGTCCAATCGTGAAGTCATACTCTTGTAGGCGTAACATCCATCGTGATAACTTCCCTCGTGGATCCCGTGCTGTTTTCAACCACTGAAGAGGTTTGTGGTCGGTCTCAATGTGGAATCGGCGGCCGATCAGATATGGTCTCCATTTTTCTAGTGCCCAAACAATGGCTAAACACTCCTTTTCCACCGTAGAATACTTCTGTTCTGCAAGTGTCAACACACGGCTAGCGTATTCAACAACCCCATCCGTTTGTCTTAAAACAGCACCTATACCATAATCACTGGCGTCTGTCGAAACTGTGAACTGCTTCCCCGGCGCTGGCAGTTTCAACGTCATCTGTTGACCATCTAACAGCTCTTTAATTCGCTCAAACGTTTGCTGTGCCTCTTCCGTCCACATGAATTTTGCGTTACTCAGCAACGTATATAGTGGTTTTGCTATCTCATTGAAATTCTTGACAAATCGGCTGTAGAATGCCGCTCTTCCCAAAAACTGTCTCAGCTTTCGCTTTGAATTTGGCACTTCGCTGGTTTTGACCGTCAGGATCTTCTCCGGCAATGGCCGTATTTCACCATTTCCCACTTTGTAACCCAGGAGGACAACCGTGTTTTTAGCTATTTGGGACTTGTTCTTATTAATCCGCAATCCAAAGTCATCAATTCTCTTTAAGATAGCTTCGATGTGGTCTATATGGTCGCTTTCCGTCTCACTATACACCACCAAGTCATCTCCATATACTTCTACGTTCTTCAGACCCTTCAGTAATAAGGTCATTAATCTTCTGAATGTAAATGGGGCACCTACCAATCCAAATGGCATTCGTTTAAACTGGTATTGTTTCTGCCCAACTGTGAACGCTGTTTTACTTCGATCACTTTCTGCTATTGGGATCTGCCAGTAACCCGATCGTAGGTCGAACACGGTGAATAACTTGGCTTTATGAAGGCGATCAAGAGTTTCTGTTACGGTAGGCATTGCACACTGTTTCACTTCGGTGAGGCTATTCAGCTGTCTGAAGTCGACACAAAATCTATATTTCCCGTTAGCTTTCTTCACCAAAAGGATTGGCGAACTGTACGGACTGTCGGCTTCTTCGATTATTCCGTCGTTTAACATTTCTCTAACTTGCCGGTTAACTTCTTCTTCAAGGTGAACCGGAACTCGTCGCGATGAAAAGACTGTCTTCCCCGTACCCTATAGTGGGATGTTATGCTTAACCTTATCACAATAACCGTATGGGTCTCCATCACTAGTGAATAAACCGGCATATTTACTCATCAACGTGGTTAGACGTGGTGCATCTTGCGGAACAATGGTTGTGGTTTCCACCTCAGCGACTTCACTATTCTCATGTATCGCGAATTGCCCGTGTTTTGTGACTACTTTTCTATTCTTCATATCGATTACAGCTCCTACTTCTCTGAGAAAGTCTGCTCCCAAAATCGTTCGTCTTATATCAGAAGTTACAATAAACGGATGTCGTATTTTTCCTGCTCCAATCTCTACAACGCAGTCTGAAACGCCAAGAATGTGCAACGGATGTCCTCCTACCGTCTGAACTGCTAATGTGCACGGCCTTATTTCCTTACACTGTTCTCTACCTATCAACGAAACTGCCGCCCCTGTGTCGATCAAACAAACTATTTCTTTTTCGTTCACCCGTAATCTCCCGTACACTGAACCTCTTTCGACTAACCCGACCACCTCTAAACGCGAGCGAGAAAAAGAAGGAAGACTGTATCGTTTAAGGTTTTTCTGCCTTCGTTTCGGGCAGTTTCTCTGCCAGTGACCGGTTCCTCCGCAAGCAAAGCATCTGTTGTTTGTTCTTTTCTTTATCTGCATAGCTGCAACCTGTTGTTTCAACTCTTCAATCTGGTCTTCGATCTTCTTGGAATCTTGGCCCTCCGACATCACTGGAGCAACATGCGAGGTCATTATCTGCCTTGTCACCTTGGCCATTTCATAAACATCCATTGGCTGAGCTGCGTTAACTAGCTGCAACTGATGCGCGATATCTGTCGGGACGCATTCGAGGAACTGAGATGCGAGCAACTGCTCCCGTGAATCTTCGTCTAGGGTGGGTAACGCGCGTCGCAGGTGATTCGTCAGCGTTACTGTGAGAACCAACGGATCCCCATCCTGGCCAAGTCTCAGCGTCCGGAACTTCCGCAGCGCTTCTTGTCTGTCCGCAGGGCTGTCGAACTCGCACACGAGCCTCTCGACGACCTTGTCCCACGCCGCCTCACCTTCCAGCTCCCGAGCGTTGTCGTACGCAGCCTTCGCGCGGCCCCTCAGCAGCGTCCCCAAGACAACAAGCTTCGCCTTCTGCTCCTGCACTCCAACCAGCTCCGCGACAGCTTCGAAGTCCCTGAGGAACGTCTGCACATCTCCATCCTCGAACACCTGCGGCCACGGCACCTTCATCTCCGGCAGAGGCAGCGACACCAAATGTAAAGAAGACAAGCCTCATGCCCAACTTTTCCTCTTCACCAGCATTATTTCTGGCTTAGCGAGGTAAAGGAGTGCGTCGGCCGGAGACCGAACTCC